AATTTAATGGTAATCATTTGAAGTCCTACTCACAAGGGTGTGGGAGGGTCTCATAGTGTCATTACTCATAATATATATAACATAATATAATATGATATTGTATACAATGATACCATTTACATTTGGTACAAGGAGGTCACAAAAACTTATAACCATCTGCTGTTAAATATGGTAGTTTGGGTGTGTCACAAAGTTCAAGAAAATTTCTTTTAAACTGTGAGATTGGTCAATGAAACAAATGCAGCCACCTAATTTTACATTCAATGGTTAAGATTAATTGTGACCACCATGTACATAAGGTAAATGGTTTCATTATATACTTTCCCATATAATATATAAAATAGTATATTTTATATTTATTTTATTATATAATGCACTATATTGTATATTATATTATGTTATCTATAAAATATATAATATATTATACATTTATACATACTATATATTTATGTAATATAATATATTTTATTACTTATATTAATAAGATAAATATAAAATACACTATATTATTTTGTATTTTATATTTATATATATTATTAATATATTATACATTTATACATACTATATATTTATGTAATATAATATATTTTATTACATATATTAATAAAATAAATATAAAATACATTATATTATTTTGTATTTTATATTTATATGTATTTAATAATATATTATATATTACGATATATAATATAATATATTTGGCTATATAAAATTTATTATAAATATTATGTATGTAATAGATATTTACAAATACAATATATATTATTTATTGTTTTTATGTCTAATATAAAATTAATATTTAATATATAATATTTAAATAATATTTAAATAAATATGACTTTATATGCCAACATGTTGTCAAATACAGGTACCTAAAACTTCTTCAACATTTCAGTTATAAACATGTACACTTAAAAGTACTTTAAATTACTTCTTCCTTCTTAGAAAAGAAGAACTTTTAATTTTCAGAGGACATTAACCTTCCAGTTATCAAATGGGCTTCGGAAATTTCTTTTACATCTGATCTCCAGAATGTATAGTATGTTCCCGTGGGAGGATAGTATGCGCTATCGATTAAAACCGAACATTCGAAGATAGGATGCAAGGCCCTAGTTTATGTTCCGGACGAGCTTCTAACGCAGTCTTCTCACTTTGCAGTTTGCAGAACTCGCTCTTGTCCGTGTAGAAAGTAGAAGTATGTGCGAAGCGTAAGCTTTTTGGGGTTGGCTTCCTGTTTTCTCTCTCTAAAATGCACCGCGTAGCATCGCCTTCTCTCTCTCTAGCGGCTACTCCTTTTCCTCAACCAGGTTCCTTCTTCTCTCGTCTCTGAAAAACCCTTTTTCGTTGCCTGCGTAGCTCAGCTCTTAAGTTATCGTTGTTTGCCCCCCTCCTCTCTCTCTCTCTCTCTCTCTCTCTCTCT